ACCTCTCCTGTGAAGAAAGGCTGAGAGAGTTGGGGTTGCTCAGCCTGGAGAAGAGAAGGCTTCGGGGAGACCTTATTGCAGCCTATCAGTACTTAAAGGGGGCTTATAAAAAAGATGGCGGCAGACTGTTTAGCAGGGCTTGTTGCGACAGGACAAGAGGGAATGGCTTTAAACTAAAGGGGGGTAGATTTAGGCTAGATATAAGGAAGCAATTTTTTACGCTGAGGGTGGTGAAACACTGGCACAGGTTGCCCAGAGAGGTGGTGGATGCCCCATCCCTGGAAACATTCAAGGTCAGGTAGGATGGGGCTCTGAGCAACCTGATCTAGTTGAAGATGTCCCTGCCCACGGCAGGGGGGTTTGGACTAGAGACCTTTAGAGGTCCCTCCCAACCCAAACTGTTCTATGATTCTATGTTCTCATGTGGTAAATTAGACAAGTCTACTCAAAACCTCAGGTTTTGCATGTAGGTCAAGTTAGAAATATTTTCACTTTGAAAACTGTCAGGATTCAAAACTGGGTTTAAAACTTTGAATTTAGAAATATAAGAGAGAGATTAAAATCTCTCTCAAATGCACTAAAGAATATGTCAAATAAGGAACTGGAATAAAGTATTACACACACTGACCTGTGAGAACCTTCTACAAAGTTTGCAGTGTTCGCATCTGTAAGAAGACACTCCAATTTGGGTTTGGTTTCCTGTTTGCCATCTCCGTCAAACACATCACTTACTGAAAAAATTTGAATGCAAGCAAAAACTTCAGCAATCCACATTTCAATTTATAATCGAACTTACTTTAGTTACTAAAGAGATAATTGCCAAAATACATTAAAAATAATGCATTGCTATGAACTACAGCTAACAAAGAGCATGCTAGCAAGTGCCTTACTAAAAACAGAAGCTGCTTTTTATAACTTATACAAAAGTCATGTGTTTGCATATAGGTGTGCAAGTGAGTGACTAGCTGACACACAACACACACTCTCACACTTTCTCTCCTGATCCTCCTCTCCCTCCCTCCCTCTCGTCTCCTTCCCTTTCCCCAAAGGGGAAAAACTTAGGTGTGCATTGATGAACTTGAGGCAGAAATGCCCTTTTTCACAGACCATCAGGCGATTTGCACATTAAAATCTTCCATGTAGCTTTCAAAGTGCTTCGAGACAACACACATACGAAACACACGTACAGATTTATCTTCATTATTTGAGGTAAAATGGTGCCAGGGTATTACAGCTAGTGGAGCCAGGCACAAGATGACTCTGCTTGCAGCCAGCTCAGGTTCATCAGGGCTTACTAGTTCAAACTCTCTTCACTTGGTACAAGCCATATACACGTACACACAAACCACAGAAGTACAAACCCAGGTGAGAGTCCACAGTCTAGTACCTGAGGACACTAACAATTACGTTTTTTCCCTTGTAATGCTAACAGGCTTCTCAGATCTATTTTATTGATTTCAGCGAAGGGAAATAAGCTCCTAGTGAGTAAAACAAGACAAATTCAATCCACATACCAAATAAATACAATCGAGATGCACATACCATTTTTCAAGTTTAAGAGATCACCTAGATTAGCTTCATTCACCAATACCCAAGCCTGCCAGCATTCTACGCAAAAACCAAAACAAAACAGGTATGAAGTGTAATTTAAGTAATGATAATAGGGACAATGATAATAGGGACTACTAAAAGGGAAAACAAAGTGTAAGTCCTCCAGAGACATTAGTTTCCTCAGTATGCTAATCTAGAGCATTGCAAGACTCATACTATTAGAAACCTTTTGCACCACAGTCCTTAATAGACACATCTATGAATTACAATAAAATTACAGCTCATGTTAGTAGTTGTGAATCAGCACTGAACATCCTCTGGCTTTTGGAAAGCTGCTGGAATGTTTCCACTCCACTGCCACTCCAGTGGCAGTAATATACGTAAACACAATATAGTGTAAGTTTCTCTCTTTACTTCATCATCAGACTAGTCGTCATCTAGCTAAGAAGGGCTGGATCTTGGCAGACCAAATTAATGCTACTCCTAAATTGGTGGAAATGGCCTTCAGATAGTAAGAACACAAAGGAGAGACCAGTTCTGTCTCAACCTCTTACCCCATGCAATTAATATTCCAAGGTGACAGACAAATGTCAGCAAAATCCACGTTAATATTTTAGTTTGAATTTTTTACAGAACAAAGCATAGAAAAATTCAAATCTAACTATGTCACAGATTCATTGTGTCATCTGGGGATTCAAGTTCAACTTTTACCTATGCACTGCTGCTGTGGTTTAACCTCAGCCAGCAACTGAGGACCACATGGCCGCTCTCTCACTCATAACTGTTCTCATGCTAAATCCAAAACACAGCACTGTGCCGGTTACTAGGAAGAAAGTTAACTCTGTCCCAGCCAAAACCAGGACAACTGCTGTAATATTTTGTCATAAAAATCAAGATGTGGGAGCTCAAGTACACAAAAAATTGTGCCACCAATTTAGAGCAAGCAGTGCAATGCAGAGTGTGTGGCATACCAGTTTAAGAGCATCTTACACTACTGTATGTTTTCTTGCACAAAAAAAGCAATAAGATCCATAAATTACATTTACATGGGTGACAATAAAAAAAGTAATTTTTCTGAATTAAATAAACCAGTAAAAAGAAACCTGTGTACTGCTCCAGGCTTATCAGACTTCTGATTTTGATGTAGATTAAGGAAACTTATTTCCATGAAAATCAGGAATGATCTTAAATGCATTGCTGTCACATTTTTCTACTAATGTTTCAAGTTATAATGGTGTCTCCAACATGAAATAATACTTATATGATTATAATCCCACCCCAAAACCATTCAGTTCACTGAGATCAGCTTGAAAGGCTAAAACTTCTGATGATAAACAAAACACATGGCACTGCAGATATTTCATTACTTCTCAAGAACAAACATTTCAGTTCCATGTGCTTAAGAGCCACACGTTGTTTGAAAAAGTATACAGACAAAAAGAGAAAATGGCAAAATGTATCTGAAATGATTACTCTTTTTTTAAAAAGCAGATATATTTGTAAAAGCGCTTAAAAACACCAACTACTAAGTTATTTAAATTCAGATGCATCTGAATTGTGGCAGATATCACACAGCCCTACACAAAGCAGGCCACAGCTCCCCTGTAGCCCAGCTTAACCATTACAAGGATTTCAAACCTTGGTTTGTGGCAGTTCCATTCTTGATCTTTTGCTTTAGCAACAGCAGCACATTTTGCACCTGCTCAAATATGACGTCCACTCTTCTACCTCCCAATTGTGTCCAAAATGTCTTCAAATCACCTGAAATGCAAATTTCCATTTACAAGTCTGTACGGCTCCCAAGAAGTCTAAAAACACAAGTAGCTCCTGGTGGACTTTTCAATGGCTCCCACTCATTTGATTGGGAGGCACTTCTGAAAAACCAGCCAGGACAGCTGTCTTCTTTTGCAGGCTTTAATCTTCAGAAATCTATTCCTAAACTAATCACGAAAGTGAAACGGAAGTCAAGTGATGAACTGGCGTGGCTTCTGATGGTCCATCATGCTGCCTTCAAGTAACTTTTCTAGCATGTCTACAAAGGGTGCTGTGGAAGCCTTTCTCCAAACACCAGCAAATTAGTCCCACTATAAATTAATCACCACTGAAACTCATAGAAATGACACAGGAGAATATTTTCAACCGAATGAACTGAACATATTATTAAACAAAAGACATTTGGAATTTTTTTTTATAGCTGTAACCTCCCTTAGCTACACAAGCTGACTATCCTGTCCCATCAATATTTTTTATATGTTTTCTAGGGAAAAAATGTTCAAAATATTTTTGGATAAAAGCAATTTGATAAATTTTGTTCACCAAGTGATATCAGTTGCAATAATTAAAACACACCTTATATCGTGCCTCCTTCCTCCACTAGAAATATTTATAAAGAACATTTTGTTTAAAGAAATGTTTTTTAAGCTACTGGTTCAGAACCTCTTCTCTTCCAAGTGTATGTACCTTTGAGGTACTAAGCCCATTCATGAAAGCTCTTGTTAAAACATTAGCAGTGCATCTTTGGCAAGGACTCTGAAAAGGGAACATGGTTCAGTGTGTCAGCAGATGATGCCAGAGAAGGGAACATGCTCTCTCTCATGGTTAACGTTTCTCCTCTTCAACGATCAAGCACAAAAGAATAAGTAAATCTGTTTTCCTACTCCGTTTCTAGAGGTAGAGTCCACTGTCACCCTACTAGGTTTACATTCCGCTTTCAGACAGTAAATCTTGGTTGGCAAATGTGCTATAGCGACACCGCCCTAGCAGTCATGAAATACTGTGTTCTTGTAAGGTTAGTAAAAAAGTATTTCCTTAATTTTCCCTTAGCAGAGAATGACTTCTGTTGCCCCAGATGCCAGAAACTAATTAATGCTATGGCAGTACAGAGTCTATGGTTACTCTCAAAAGTGTCATGATAGCCGTGAAGAAAGTAACAATCTTTTGTCACCACAACACCAACTAATTATGTCACCAGCAGCTAAGAGCATAATATTTAATATCAACAGGCAATGCTGAAAGTACTTTATCTTGTAAAACAACTGATTTGGCACTAACTCTCAACATCATTTCATGAGCTTTTATATTCACAGAACTTCTAAAAAAATGTGGAAAGGTCAAAGTCCTGTTACAAAAAATGCCCACAACACTTCTTGGAAACCTACACTACTGCTCCAAGAGACAACATCTGCCCTGGGCCATTCCCACCCTTTTGCTGCGCATGACAGTATCACAAATTTAAAATACCGAGAAATAAGTATATTTAACATCTGTGTTTAAAAACACACATGCAGAAATTCTAGTAAGAAGTTCCACCACTGCAGATTAAAACTGCTGTCCTTATTTCTTATCTGTTTTCATATATTTCAATACATTTACTAAGTCTGGATAGCACTGGTGGATAGATTACTTCAGAGGATGAGTGACAGAACATAGTTTTTCATTTCTGGGTCATCAGTTATAATCCTGCGTAGGCCAGAAGGAAATAAAACATATACTACTACGTGTAGTACTCAAACCACTCACTCACCTTGGAAATGCTTCCCCAATTCTCATCCTGGAGTGCCCTGAAACTCCAGCAGCAAAAACTTGTTTTGCATGGAGAAGCAAAGATTGCTTCTTTAATTAATTAATTAATTAAATTAATTAATTTTCATTTAAAAAAAGACAGATGTCCACATCACTAACCTCCTCTCCAGTGTTAATGCTGCTATTGTCAACCCCAGCCAGGAGGACAGGGAATGAACAGACACAAGATGCATCTACCTTGTCATCATTCAAAATGATCTCACCAGCTTATGACTCAGGATGTGGACTGGCATCCAGTGGCAATAGTTCTAAACCTGGCTGAGGCCATTACCTCCGGAGAGACTTTCTTTTCCCTCTATAGGATCCTTGTGGCCACATATCTCTTTTTTCAGCATTGTGCAGGGGAATGATGCTACAGCAAGAAGCCAAGGCCAGGGCTACTTATGCCAGCTACTGGAAAAAATACTTGGGTGCGTGTCTCCTTTAAGGCAAAACTATTGTTTTCTGTTAGCATTTTCACACCAGAAGTGGTACCAAATATATACTGCCTTCCCCTTTGCCTCCATAAATCCAAATTATACTACCTTCAATCCTCTCCTCTTTTGAACTGGTAAGGTTCTCCACTTCCAAGCAGTCGCACGGCACTGCAAGAGGTACAGAATGGACAAGTAAATAAGAGATTAGGTGAGAAATTAAAATGGTTGTAGCTACTTAGTTTTTCAAAATTTATACAAGAAAATACTACAGCGGTTATCACTGGGAGCACTGTGTGAGAAAGTGTTGTGGTGAAATAGTCATCCCACTTTCAAAGTCATCCCACGTCTTGTCAAGACCCAGCTGAAGAACACTCACGTGAAACAAGCTGTGTGAGGAAATTTTTTTTACATGGTCACTTGTTATTATCCCTCAAGCATGAAGGTGTCATGAGATGACCCATACATTCCAGTGTATTCAGCTGAGCCTACTACTTCCCACTTCCTATTAGCTCACATTTCTCTCTTTTTTTTTTTTTTAAATTAATGCTGTCAGTACAGCAGTACTGCAACTAAACTAATTTATTTAGGAAAAAATGAAGGCTTTTTTAGGTAAAAAATTTACTGAATCTGTTTCACAACAGATGCAAGATAAAGCAAGATCTCTCCACTGGAATAACACTAAGGAAAAGTAAGGCAGCATTCTTCAACCACATTGAAGATACCAAAACCGACTATTGCCACTAATGACACAGAGAGCATAAAACGTACCTTACTTGTAAGTTAACTAGTTAGTCTTTTCTACGCTATAACTGAAAAAACATTTCCATTCATTCTGGCACAGAAATTTCATTCGGTTGCCTGGGAGAAGAGGTTAAGTGAAGATTGTTAATTCCTATGAAAGTTTCTCACAAGATCTGCCTGATGACTGTTCAAAACATATTTTTTTTTTGAAGGCTTACTTCTTTTCTCTTCCATCTTCCGGGGCGGCTGCACCGCGGCCTGTTAGGCTCGTTGGGGTATCGCCAGCGCCGAGCCCGGCTCAGGTAGGAGAGCGGTGCGTTGATTTCGCTGTCCCCCGAAGGCTCGTTGGTATCGCCAGCGCCGAGCCCGGCTCAGGTAGGAGAGCGGTGCGTTGATTTCGCTGTCCCCCCACACCGCTGCAGGGTCAAGGCGAGGGGCCTGCGGACAGGAGCCGGGCTGCCCGTCAGGCTGGGAGCGCTGCGCCAGCGCTCGCCAACGGCGCGCCACTCGGGACCTGGCCCCGGCACCTTCCACCCTCCTCCGGCCAACGTCTCTCAGCTCACCTGGGGATTCAGGAGAGAAAAGGGTTGAAGTCGTGCGGCGCCGACAGAAGGGCACGCCGCCACGCTGAGGGGCGGGAGTTACCCAGACCCCCCGCACTCCTTCAGGCACGCACCCCCCGGGGTGTGGGGAGCGATGGGCTGCGGACCGGGGGAGGCCGGGCCGATCCCCAACCC